GGTGTTTTCCGGACGAAGTGAATAATTTTCTTTAGTGACTTGTCAGAAAAATTAAAATAGATATATTTTCTTTTTAGTTTCCTTACAAAAGAAGTTTTTTAGTTATCTCTTAACAATTATATTCAACGTTTGCTTTCATGGAAAATGTTCTGACGAGCTACAATCCTTAGTTCCACCAGTCCAGACGTTTACATCTAAGACCCGCCGTATCATATACACAGGGTCAAACCATCTTAATTCTTTTCTTTTTATTCCCAAGTGCCGTTACTTTATAGTAGAGACACCCGAGAGGATGTTTCCCCAAACACTACAATGTTAACTTCTCCATGTCTACGGTCAACCATTATCTATCATAGATATCCTCATAATCTTCACTTCTGCCTTATTTCTCCTTCGGCCATACAACGACCTCGGTTAGGAATTAGCAACCTAAAATTAAATGCAACATAAGTCGCCAGCGTCCGTCTCTTTGAATCCTATTCTTTTATTGCCCTCTCTACTCGATAATCTTTTCTGTTTCTTTCATTCTCAGTAGGTTCTTGTGTCTTCTTGGCTTTATTGTCTTGATTGGGGCATGAGGATTCAAAATGAATAACTTTTGGTCTTTGGTTGAACGTTTAGTAAAAAAAAGTTATTTGTGTTATTGGTTGCTAATAATATGTGAGTTACTTGTTTTAAATACAAGAATCTTGTTTTTACTTTGACTGACAAAAACGGATTCTTATAGTGATTTAAGAAATGATTTATAGGACGAAATTATTTGCCGTCGTTTACAAAAGTTGACAACTTCATGTTCGATAGAGATGAGTTTGTAGAGGACCGTGAGTGTTTAAGTGTTGTTGAATTAGGGACACGTACTGCTTATTCCTGCTACAAGAAGGTCCAACTACAAGAACATGGCGGACTCAAGTTGAGTCCAACCGAAGATGTAAAGAAAACAAAACTGATATATATATATATTGTAAACAAAACTGATATATATATATATATATATATATATATATATATATATACAACAAATATATGTATTAAACAACAAATTTACAAGTGACAAAGACATCAACATTTGTGTTTGTGTGTGAACGTAAAGAGTTTGTATTTTCGTGAATGTTCGTACGTACGTGTATGCGTGTTTCATGTGTCCGCTGAAATGCAAAGTCAAAAGAGGTATTTAGCGACCCCCCCCACACACACACAAGGGTTACATGTGGCACAAGGCCGGGTTTAATGTGGGATTTCCGAGCCCGTAGGCTCGGCCAAAAATATACCCTCTTTGAACCCGTATAAGCGTGTTCAGGGGCAAGTCAACCACCTCGAACGAGACTCTGCCCTTCGGCGGAGCATCGTCCGGGTTACTCTTCGCCCGAAAGCAGAGAGTTAGACTGTTACTTGGCCAAAATTTCGCAAAGGGAACGAGGCAATCAGTCACCCAGTATTTATAGTGTAGGGAGAGCGCCACCTGATGAACAATTAAGGAATCAAAGAGAAGTTAACTCCGACAAGTTTAACAAGATAGTTTTTTAATGGTATGTTCCCAATTCAGGACGTAGGCTTTCCGCATATTCCATTTCTTTATCATATATAAACATTAATTAGCTATAACATATTGAAAACGATAGTCGAGTGAATTCCTATTGCCTTTTCCACCGTTTCGAATTCAGAATACTCCTTCTCTAAAATTCCTTTTCTTTATCGTCTGTAAATTGACATGAATACTTGAGAAAGATTTCCCGTTGTTTTTCCATGGTTTTGAATTCAGAGTAGTCTTCCTACAAGATTCCTTTTATTTTATATCTGTGAAATGTCATGACTTCTTGAAAATGATAGTCGAGTGGTTTCCCGTTGCCTTTTTCGTGGTTTTGAAGTCCGAATAGTCTTTCTCCAAGATTCTTTGCTTTATTGTCTGGAAAATGTCATTAATCCTTGCAAAGACAGTCGTTTCCTTCCCTGTTGTTTTTTCTACGGTTTGGAATTCAGAATAGTCTATCTCCAAGATTTATTTTCTTTATAATCTTTGAATTACTATGGTTTCTTGGAAAATTTCTGGATTCGTTTTCCATTGTTTTTTCCAATGTTTGGAATTCAGAATAAGTCCTTCTCCAAAATTATTTTCTTTATTATCTGTAAATTGCCTTGACCTATTAGAAAAGATAGTGGAATGGTTTCTAGTTGCCTTTTCCACCGTTATGAAATACGAATAGTCCTTCTCCAAACGGCAATGGATTCGTTTCCTGTTGCTTTTCCGACAGTTTTAAATTCAAAATAGTCCTTCTCCAAGATTCCTTTTCTTTATTATTTGTGAATTGCTATGACTTTGGAAACAATAGTCACATGATTTCCCATTGCCTTTTCCGTGGTTTTAAGTTCCGAATAGTCCTTCAATAATATTTCTTTTCTTTCTTATCTGTAAATTGCCATGACTTCTTGGGAAAGATAGTGGAATGGTTGTAATCCAAGACTGTAATCCAAAGCTGCCATGCTTATTGGTGTGAAAAAGGACATAGTCACGCCTTTCCCATGGGCATTTTTTTCGAATGTGGGCCCAAGAGAGGAAATGTGAATTTGATCTCGGTTCGATGAATCCGCTTTCCGCACTGATAACTGCTACGCTACCCGCACATACGAACACATCAGTGAGATTTTTAAAACCTCCAGAAAGAAAGAGGATCGAAATAATTTGATGAAATAGAATGAGTATGGAATCACTTTGATCATACAGAAACAGAAACTTTGATCTGGATATGGAATGAAAGAAGTAATGCAACTAACCCTGAATCAATCATAAATATTCAGGATATGGAACTAGTAAATACTAAATACTTTAAATACCTTGTAAATCAGTTTTAAATAATTTAGTATCAGAGATAATGACCTTCATAGCTGTCAGCTGTTAAAAGTTGAAAACTTCTTATTTAAAATTTTATAAGGGTTTTAAAGACTATTACCATCTTCACATTTTATGTGAGAGAAAGGAAGGAATTATTGGATCAGGACATTAAAAGTTGTAACATTGATATATGTTATCATGAATTAATCAAAATCAAAGAAGGATTTGATTATTAATATAGGAGATTATAAGGATTATAAGGATTTGATTATTATATCAGCACATGTTAATATCAACCTTTTGCAGGTTACTTAAAGTCAGATATCTATTTTTTAAATTGTAAGATTTTTGTGGGGAGATAATAACGGTTTAGTGATACAAGTCTTACTAATTAACCTATAACTGGGGGGGGAGAAGAGATGGATTCATACTTATCTCAAGGGTATTTGTGAGTAAGTAAGTGAATATAACGAACGCAACAGAAATTGAAACTCGGCTCTCCGATGAATAATTCCAAGCCATTATCATTTACACCACCCGCACATCCAAGCTTACAGCACCTGGTGTTCCTAAGGTTGCTTAACTTCGGTGATTGTACGGAAGCCGGTGTTTCAACGTGATGCAACCATAAGCCTTATTATTGTAATGGTTTTGTCACCAATACCAAAAAGAATAGCATAAAAAGACGTTGAACCAACAACTGGAGTAAACACGTTGAGCAACAACATTAAAAGAACTATCAATAAAATTCCATCACCCACCGTAAAATCTTTGAAGATCTTAGAAGACCTGCAGTATTTTCGTTAGCAACAGACAGAGGGTTTTGGAGGGGGCTGACTGATAGAAGATATTTACCAACTTTACTGCTTTATATGGAGTCAAATGATTTAAGAAAAAAAGAACTATACTAAATAGTCGAAATGATATCACATAACGACAGCAACAATTAAAATGGATAACACATTGTTGTAACGTAGGGAAGGTTATTGAATAGAATAATAACACTAAGGTTGGTAATGAACGATAATACTTAGGACAAGAACAACACATATAAGATTCACCAGCGGCGAGTAGAAGTAGTCAACTGCTCGAAGTGAGTCAAGTGAATTCCACAATAAATCTCCAACTGCAGGATATCTAGCAACCGCCCCACGTAGTCAGATGTGGCACAAGGCTGAATTTAATGTGGGGTATCCGAGCCCGTGGGGTCGGCCAAAAATTCCCCGTAGACCCCGTATGAAATGGGTTCGGGTAGCTGTTTTCCGAGACGAGATTCTGTCCTTCGATCTAACCTCGTCTGGAGATCCTCTCTACCCGGAGGCGGAGAGTTTGGCGAGTGCAGCTGGAGACGTATCTCCAGCTGCAGACCAACATACAATATCTACTACTGTATTTATGTGAATGGGAACATACCCATTATCGTCCGTAGGTATTCTACAACACCGCTACAACTCGAAAATAATTACACAATAAAAAATAGGTGGCCATCAGATGGAGCTTGTAAAACCAAAGCAATAATCTATAAAGCAGAAGTAACAGATATTAATGGCCAGAATAAAACTTACATCGGATGTACTGAAGGTACTTTCAAATGTAGATGGTACAATTCTAGGTCATCATTCAAAATGCAGACTTCCAGATTGTGTGAAACAAAAGGTCAGTTAAGAAACCTTTTTTCTTGAAAGTTTGTTTTTAATATAAAGATTTCGTAAATTACAACCGAACATAGCACTGACTGTTCGGTCAATGAATGCCGAATGTTTCCTTATGAGGAAACGGTTAATATTACCATTAATGTACGGAGATGAGCTGTCTATTCTGTGTTATAAATAAATCGACTTGACAAATTGATATAAAATCAGACGATGCTCAAACTGGATATTTTTTTAAGTCATGGCAATTATAGTTCACGGACAACAGTTGATTCCATCTGTAACCGTTATTACTGTGTATTGAATTCGATCACCGCTGCGTATCTGATACTTGTGGCCTTTGTGGCGCTGAACCCAGGCTAATCATGGTAAATAATAACAATGAACTCAATCTACCAAAGCTAGCAGTGGATGTAAAGTCATTCTGCTACCCTTGCCTGTGCAGGTAATGACAATTTCGCTAAGTGCAGTCGCGCATTGCTTTTTATACGTGGTGTGACACTGACAAGACCTTGATTCGGATGACTGGTGATGGGAAGGAACGCAGTAATGAAATCTCTTTTTTCCTGAGTCTGTGAATGCAGGTGTGAACGAAAACAAAATGTTCGATTGGTACATGAACCCGAGTTTTCCTGGGCTTAGTCTTACCGTCAGTTTATTTTCTCGCTCTTCCCCACTCACATATATTTCTCATTTTCTCTTTCTTCCTCTCTATGCACACCTATTTTTCTTTCTGTCGCTATCTATATATGTCTATATTCTTTCTTTCTTCCTCACTTTCTTTCTCTCTCTGTAACCTTTTACTTTTCCTCTCTCTCTCTCTCTCTCTCTCTCTCTCTTTGTCTGCACAAACATACACACACGTATCTCTCTCCATGTATATTGTCTTTCTTTCTCTCTCCATGTATATTGTCTTTCTTTCCATGTATATTTTCTTTGTCTCCATGTATATTATCTCTCCCTGTGTATATTGTTTCTCTCTCCATCTCTATCGTCTTTCTTTTTCCCCATGTTTACACGTTCTCTTTCTCCATGTATATTGTCTACTTTTGTCCATGTATATTGTCTTTCTCTCTCTCTTTCCCTGTATATTGTCTTTCTCTCTCTCTCTCTCTCTCTCTCTTTATATATATATATATATATATGTGTGTGTGTGTGTGTGTGTATATACCAATTTATATTGCGCGCGTGTATATGTGCAGATCTACACATGTCTCTGAATGAACTGAAAATATCGATTCCCTCGTACCAAAATACAGCTTCAAAATATGATGCAACTCGATACCAAAATGTCAGTCACGATTGTCGCGCGTGAATTGTGAAAAAAAAGACGTGATCCAATAAAAAAAAAAAATTGCGAATAATCTGAAAAAAAATAAATAAATGAACTCATTTTAAAACGATTGCAAATATTAGTATTTTTTTTAAATAATGGTAAAAGTTACGCAGAATATCTATATCCCTTAGCGTTAAATATATCTTACAAACGGTCACAGATGCATGTAAAGAAGTGGGCGCGATTCTAACTTTTCATACAAAAGAGTGCACTCGGTTTGATATTCTACCACACATTGTTGTTTATTATGAAGATTTTATTCAAAGGAAATTCCTATCCGCTTTTCTATATTTCTACAACATTATTCTGATAACTTGTGGACTGGTGCCGTCAAAAACGACAGCAATTGTTAGAAAAGTTTTAATAGTGTGATGCAATGAAACAAAAGTCTTGAAACAATGTATTGACATTCAATAAAGTGAAGAGAAAGAATTCGCAAGTAAACTAGGGCTCAATGAACAGTTTCATCAATCCTTTCTCTTTATATATATTTTTAAACATTCAATGGTATTTATGATTCATTGATTAATCCTGCTATTATATAAATCACTTTTTGCTCAATATCATTTCATGTTAAAAACGTCTTGTCTTTAATATAACAGTGAAATGGAAATAGCTATCGGAAGAAAAAAGTTTAGCAACAGAACGACAAAGATGATGACGACAAAAGCCTATTTCAAGACCAAATTGAAGCAAGATGATCGCTTAATAGGCAAAGGTATCTGAGTGCCTCTCATGAAAGGCTTGAACAAATAAGCTTGCAATCTAAGAAACGCGTAGAAGCAAAGGGAGTGATTAAATGGTTCATTTTGCTCGGGAAATAATGTTGTCTAAATGAAGGTGAATATTTTATTTGTGTAGATTATTAAAACGGCTAAAGGAAGCAATCGCTTATAAGTTTACTAACATATAATGATTTACCTTCCTTCCCACTACAGATGGGACAGGAGATATATAAATAAAAACACGTTGATTATTATTATTATTATTATTATTATTATTATTATTATTTGTGAGAGAAGCACACCAACAAAGTGATGCTGGCCACAAATATACATAGCCCAATATACCCATTATGACAACAGGAATCTGCGTCAGCTCAAGCGAACGCGATGTGGTGACTCTTAACCGTGCAGGCGGGGCTCCCCCTTGAACTATCTTCGGTTCGGGTAACCCAATCCGCCGAGACTGTCTCCAAATCGGGGTGATCGTAAGTATATAGATGTGACACCCAAGTCGCTTTGTCGGCCTTATCCTCCAAACTTAAAATATAAGCTCTCGACACCCATCTTGACTTAAAATATAAGCTCTCGAATAGAGAAAAAAGATGCGTGGGTCCCTCGTGACATGCGCAACTAGTTTATAAAAGGGTCGGTGTCCCAACGCTACGCCAAAGACATTGTATTCTTGGCAGTAGCACTTGGCGGGGCTTTTATCGATCTTCACGACTATCGTATGGAAGTATTTGTATTCTGGAAGATAAACTGAATTGACGGCGAATTGACAATACAAGTGTTGTATATATATTCTCTCTCTCTCTCCACGTCTCGTATTTTATTCTCTTTCCACCCATCTATTTATTCTCACCCTTTCCCATCTATGTTCTCTTTCTTTCACCCTCTCCTCCATGTATATTTCTTTCTCTGTCTATCCATGTATACTGTTTTTCTTTCTCTCTATCCATGTATATTGTTTTTTCTCTCTCTCCGTCTATATTGTATTCTCTCTCTCTCAATACATAGAGTTTTTTCTCTGTCTGTCTGTCTCTCTCTCTCTCTCTCTCTCTCTGTCTCTCTCTCCATGTATATTATTTTTCTCTCTCCCTCTCTCTCGCTGTGTATATTGTTTATTCTCTTTCTCCCTCTCTCGCACCGTGTATATTGTTCTCTCTCTCTCTCTCTCTCTCTCTCTCTCTCTCTCCATGTATATTGTTTTCTCTATATCTCTGTGTATAATTGTTTTCACTCTATCTCTATTTCTCTCTACGTGTGTATTGTTTTATCTCTCTCTCTTTCCGTGTATATTTTCTCACTCTCTCTCTCTCTCTCTCTATTAGTCTTTCTTTCTTTCTTTCTCCCTTCCCATGTATAGCGACTTAGACAAAGTGACTTGGGAATGAGGTATCATTCTGTACCCATTGAGAATTTAGATGTGATTCCCAATGAGCCGCGGCAACTTCTTTAATCTGCCAAAAACCGGTTTCACAAAACGAACCAAACTGTTGATAACTCACAACAGGTTCAATAAAAACAAAATTGAAGAATTTTAAAAGTACATAAGGAATTAATAATCTTTCTCCGTAGACCCGATTGACAACTTTTTGACAGGAAAGCTTTCTCGCAGTAATTCCTAGAGATTTTAAACACGTTGGTAATCGTACTGTATTCTTGTCCACTTGGACTTATGTCTGTGTGTTCGTCAGTGGAAGAAGCAGGAGCAACGAGACCGTCTAGACTGGGAGCCGACGTCTTATCTTGCTGTCGACTTGTCATCTTTGTTATCGTCTGCCTGTCTCGGTTGCGTCCGTCGTGTTTAAGGAAGACCTGATATTGATTTATCGCCTATTTTTCGATGAGATAGTTATGACCTTCTTTGTTCAATAACACATGACCCTTCTTTAGAATTCAGTCAAACCGAACACCAAGCCTGAATTTTGGTAACGCAATGAGCATTTTCGCCGAGCGTTTGAGCAACGATGGGGTCTTAGAGAGGTTGCAAACAAGGAGGAAGCATATACTTAACATCAGGAAGAGGCAGCTGAAGTTTCTTGGACACATAATGAGGAAGGAGGGTCTGGAGAATCTGATACTCACAGGTCGAATAGAAGGAAAGAGAGACAAAGGAAATCAGCTTGTGACATACCTGGCAAGCTTGAGCAGGTGTATGACAGAACGTGGCAGAAGGAAGGAACTTGTTGAGTGCTGCACGGGATAGAGGGAGGTGGAGATCCATGATCGCCTACGTCCTGAAAGGACATGGCACATAAAAAGAAAGTATTTTGAAAGAAGTATTTTGTATGAACAAGCCAAGAAGTCGGTTTTGGAATTTCTCAAATTCCAGAAGACCGTAAATCTTTGTCACCGAAGATAGATAGGTCGGAGGAAGATCATAATGAATTCTCCTTGGCTTATTTCAGGTTTGAGTCTTCTTGTAAAACTCTTTGAACTCCTTTGAATCCTTGTTTTCTTTCTTTCCTCTCAGTTCGGAGTAAAAGACAAACTCCTCTATAAGGAAAGTACATTAGGGATTTGATACCCTTATCAGACTCTACGGCCAGAAAGCTTTTCTTTTTTTCTGTAATGAAACCGTTAATGCCTGTTGGATTTGAAATTAGCCCACTGTGATCGGACCCTGAACTACCACCCGTCCCGGGTATGACGATAAAACACATCTGGCATCAAGACCTCTGATCAGGAAGTTTTGAGGAGTATGGAAACAGCTTTTAATTGCTGTTGTTCTCAGGTCCACACTGACCCGAGGTGGTAGCACCTGTTAGGGGGCCCAGCTATGGGCAAATAGTTAATCCCCAATCGGGGATCAAAACAAGATGAAAGTATAAAATATATTTTTCTAGTAATTATACCAGCTGTAGATTTTCATTGTAAAAAAAAATACCGGCAATACATTTTTGAAAAAAAAAATATATTACCAACAATACATTTGACCCTCAACAAAAACCTTTACAAAAATATGTCAATGAAACCTGATCCGCAAACTGATTTCTTACAAAGAATACATATTGTATTCATACGAACCTATCCTAAAAATCTTGTCGGCATTAAATAACCCATTGAGGTGTTGATATGCCGTAAAACAAAATAAACCAAACCAAAAAGAAATATCACCAGTCACAACGAACGGGTGTCCCCTCGGAGAGGCACCGCGTCTTGAAAGTCTAGTGGGCCTCAAACTCACACCTGACCTCGAGTGGAACTCGTACATACGATGCATTGCTAAAGATGCAGGTAAAATGATCGGCTCCTTGTACGACTTCAGTAAGTACCTGACTCCTCGTGCTATCGTCTACGTTTACAAGAGCCAGATCAGGCCGAAAATGGAGTACTGTTGTCATATTTTGGCGGGAGCTGGCCAAACCTCTCTCTTCAGCTTTGATAGAGTCCAAAAGCGTCTACGAGCCCTTGTGGGTGGGTGACGAATTATTCTCCACCCTCTAACATCTTTCTCACAGGCGGGATGTAGCAAGCCTCTCACTGCTCTATCGTTACTTCCACGGAAAGTGTTCGAACGAACTACATTCGCTGGTTCTGCCATTTCTAACCTTCACTGCGATGACACGCCATGACACGCCATGACACATACAATCTATCAAATCACCCACATTCCCTCCATATTCCTTTGATAAGAAGTCCCACTTAAACAGCTTCTTCCCGCGAACCACTGCTCTGTGGAACCGACTCCCAAGAGGATGTTTCTCCGAATACTACAATCTTAATCTGTTCAAGTCTAGGGTTAAACGTTATCTTCTCCTCCTATCCGACAAATTGCCTCTTAACGTAATCCTCTATCCCGAGTGGCCCCGGACCTTCTACAGGGTGAACCTTACTGTAAAAACAATATTAGTTCGTATTCCACAATCTAAAGAGTGTTTCATTAAGACGGATCAAAGTCAGCAGTAAATAAATCAGTGTTATTGGTGAAAATTTCAGAGTTTAGCCGGAGACGTTTAGAACTACGTAGATTCCGTGGGACTGACGGATGGGTAATTTTTTTTTTAAAGTGGAATTGTAAAGAAATAAGTAAATAAATTGCACAATTATCAGTGGATACTGTTCCGTTTCAATCATCTATATGTTTATATTCACTCTGTGTCTGTTCTGATTTTTTAATCTTTCTCTCTCAACATCAAATACTTGACGCTTATGTGTTTTTCTAAAGACATAATTTGTTCAAATTTTTTTCGGCAACAACCTCACTACTCCGCTGACCTTTGAACTCGCCCGATTCACCATCCTGTTCGTCGTTTCATTATAATCTATTCATTTCTATTCTTATTTTTTCTTTGTGTCTTGATTACACTGTACAGTTTTCTTTTCTACTAAATTTTCATCCAATGCAAGGCCGAACGGCCACTCAGGGTAGAGTAAATGAGGTTGTTATATGGATGTTAGGGGGAAGTAACTGTGGATTATGGACATATGTACGGTAGGTGGCGGGTCAGCTGTAAAGGTTTGAACTGGTGGAACTAGGGAATTTAGCTAGTCTGAACATTTTCCATGGAAATAGTGATAGAAATTTTCATCCAATACATTTCTAAATCTGGTACAAGGCCGAAGAACCACTCAATGTAGTGTTACTAAATGAGGTTGTGATATGGATGTAAGGAGGGGCAGTAACTGCAGGATCTTGAAGTGGTTAAGATTGTAGTGTTCTCTCGGGAGTCTGTTTTATAACGTAGCAGCTCTTGGAGGCACGTTGGAGCAATAGATATCGGCTCGGATTGAGGAATCGTGGAGCCGAGTTCGAATTCCAGTCGGATCCATTACATTCACTTACGTGCTAATACACATGGGAAAGATATGAATCCCTTTCTCCCCCAGCTATGGGTAAATAACAGAACAGACTGGGTTCCATAGACTTGAGTGGCAACCGGTCTAGGAAAAGGAAAACTCTGAATTCAAACCGGCCTGGAGAGGGTTCGGGTCTGTCAGGCTATCTTTCACCATATGTACAGCGGCTACGACCCTCGGGCTCCTTTCTTGTTACTTAACCTATTTAAGAAGCCCTTTGTCTCTCTCTCCTCTGTTTCCAGAAGGCTAGAAGCTGGCAGAATGGAACTTCTTTCCTACTAATGAAATATGAAGAGAAGGGGGGTGGTTTCATCCCTGTGTATATGGCGTGACGAGTCTTAGCTGTAAAGGTGTGAACTGATGGAACTGTGAATGTAGTTAGTCATGGAAATAACGATAGAGTAACGACAGGCCTGTGACGTAGCATCTGTGGGAGAAGAGTTGTAGGGATGGAAATCATCCATGACCCATAAAGCCACGTAGACGCTTTTGAACTGTACCGAGGTGGGAAAATGGAGGCTGGGCAGCTCTAGCTCAGATCTGCTACCATTTGTTTTTGATTTTCTCTGAATCTTGTGACGATAGAGCAATGATTTTCATTTTTCGCGCGATCCTCTTAAGTGTGACGCGAAATATTGACACGTCATACATGTGTGTGTGTGTGTGTGCGCGCGCGCTGTAATATTGGTACAGCATTAGCATTTGAATTAATGAATAAGAATAAGTATTTCAATATTCTTCGATTATGTTATTTTAAATACTTTGTTTTAATATTCATTTTAATATTTTTTAATTTAACTCTTTAAACACCATTTAACCATTTCTAGTGATTGAGGGCTCAAAATAAAACATCCAACGGGACCCACTGATACCTTTTGGATTTCGATACAAAAGGAATATTGCACATTTATATTGCTTTATTAGTTTTATTGCAATTTTCTACTTCTTATTTAAGTGAATAAGGCTTCTCAACCCTAAATAATATAAAAAGTAAGAAGTGAGAAAGACTCTGCTCAACTGAAGAAGAAATCAGGGTTTCCTTGTTGCACGTTTCACCAAAACATTAAAGAAATCGCGAAAAAACATCAGGCACAAATTTCACACTAAATAAACTGCACAAATAGTTGAATAGAAACATTGAAATTGTTGAAACTTGACTAATGCATGGAATAATAATACAACACAAAATGTACTTAGAACAAAATGTATTGAAACAAGAAAGTGTACACAATATTTACATATAGTCTTTTGTATATTCCTGGTAAGACCGTTCCTGGAGAATGTGTTGAATGAGTCGCAGTCGGGCAGAGTCTCTGGTTGAATCTCTTGATTCCTCCCTCTCTTCCCGGTACCAACCATATTTATATGGTCGGTACTCCACTATGCAAATTAGGTGGATCCTACCACAACAGAAATACAGTTCATATTTGTGTGTATATTTTTTTTTAAATCTATTTATTTTTTATTTCCTAACATTTAAATATCTACCCTTCAGAAAATTTAAGGGTACCGCGATATTTTCATCTGCTCCTAGATACGTCGTTGCTTAAAAAGGTTGAGAAA